ATTCTTGCCGCACCAGTTTTGGGGGAAAGAGTTATTTTGTTTTGTTTTCTTTGATTTTGCAGATGGGAGAGCCGTAGGGAATACCTTACAGAGGAAGCGAAGAAGAGGTCCGGCACGTGCGATAAACATAAAAATTCTGCAGCCTCTGATGCTTCTTGATCCAACAATCTTGGTTGAAATGAGTTACTAAGAGGATATTGGCCTCCTAAGTAAATTCTACTTTTCTAACATTTATGCTATTTTGAACATGATTTTGGTGATCTAAAATTGATTTTATATGGAATTCCTGGTTAAGACTCTTTTGAAACACATAAGTGGGGAAGTTCTTTGTGTTTTACGCCCTTTCCCCCAAATGTTTTTTAAAGATATGATTAATAGCTATTTCAATCTTCATCATTGAATCCTTTAAGTATTTGGACAATGTAGTGATTGCATGTGGACATTTCAACCATTAACTCCAATTCCAAAACACTTTTAACCATGAGGACGTGGTTCCGTTTAAGTGTGAGGAGGTAAGAGTTCGTGGTTGAAATGATCTTTTTAGGAATTATTTTGTCTATATATTTTTAGGAAAGGATTTTATAAAATAGTCATCAATTTCATTGTTTGATTAATTAATCTTTAGTTATCACCCGTAAAAATTGGAAATTTTAAAACTTGTTTTCAAACTTTTATTTTTACTCTAACCTTTTGGAAATTTTTTCTAAAATGATTTGGGATAAATTCATATTTCACTAAGAGTTTTTAAGATCAATCAATTTTTAGTTGATTTATTGAAAATCTTTTTGCAAATACTCATCTATCTTTCGGGCTATGAGTATTTGTTGTTTATTAAAAAGAGTTATTTTCAAAGTATAAGGGGTGACCTTTCAAAGCATATTTGGTGAGATCGAGATTCTTGTTTTAGCCAAAAAACAGTTGGTTCTAAGTCAACTGATGAGGCATGGTGAGAAAGCCAAAAAGTATGTGATTCTATATTACCTGATGAGACGCTTTTGAGTGTTTAAGTCAAAAAGCATGCAGTTCTATGTCGTGTGAATAGACTTTCCAGAGGGACTATCCAAAAAGCTTGTGGTTCTATGTCACACGATGAGGTTAGAAATTTTTCTCGTGTCAACATGACAAAGTTATACCAAAGAAAATTAAACCCTTACATTTTGACAAATACTTTTGCAAGAACATGGTTTCCAATTTAGCCGTTAAAGACTTTTTGATCTTTAAAGTACTCTTACAAATGTAATTATCCCAAAGAAAGTTTGGAAAATTTTGGTTGTGTAGGTTGGTATATTGGTTTGACAAGATTCTTTTACATTTTTAACAATATGGGTGAGAATCTAAAGGTTCATTTCTTCCTAACAAAAGGTTGATGAATATATTATTTCTTCTTTCTTTCATAATATGTAGCTAAAACTTTTCCTTTGTGATTACTAATTTGCCTCTATACTTATAATTATTCAATTTGTTGCTTGAGGGCAAGCAACGTTTAAGTGTGAGAAATTTGATAAGTGAGTTTCGTTCTTATCATTTATATCATATTCTAAATGTTATTGCACGTAAATAGCATTTAATAATATCATGAAACATGTTTTTAATGATGAAAACTCTCATTTTTGTTCTAAGAGTCATAAAAAGAGATTCCACATGAAATCATCAAAAATCATCCATTTTATATTCAAATACTTGAGAAAAAGGAAATCAATCATCAAAAGATCAAGATTCGGGCTTGAACGAGCTTACAGGAGGTCAAAGACAGTGTTCGGGGCCAAAAAGAAGTGAAACTGGGCCAAAATCACAAACTAGCCGCGAAGCCCAACAAAAGAAGGGCCTGAAGCGTCCAACTTAGACGTTTGACCAAGTTGGACGCTTTGGGGTTGGACGCTTCAGCTGAATTGCAGCCCAAGAATGACACGTGACAAAATCTGATTGGCTAGGACACCCAAAGCGTCCAGGACGCTTGGACTTGGATGCTTGGAGTTGGACGCATTGGCTCCGTCCCTATATAAACAACGCGATTCTTCCCATTCAACATAACATCTCTCAACCCAATTTTGGGTTTCCTCCTTCTATTATACTCAATATTTCTTGTATAATAGTTTTAGTAGTAGTTTTAAAGTATTTCCGGAGGTTTTGACTCCAGATCTGTTCTATTCCGCTTATACAGAAGCTGTAAGTTTTCTTCATTTAGTAAAATGCTATTTTAATTTATGTTTGCATAGTATGAGTTAGGCTCCGGATATCTGGGTCCGGACTAGTTTGGTTGTATGCTTTTAATGTTAAATTAATGTCGGAATGGTTAGTCTTTTGTCACTGCCTTATTTAGTTAATTAATATTGAAAGATTTAATTAGCTATTTATTGAGAAAATACTATATGTCGGAAGGCTATCATATTCAAGGCAACAGATTAAGTATAAAACCTAGAAATAGGTGAGTAATAGTAAAAATATTATTATTCTAAAGTAGATCCAAATGATGTTCTGACCCTAGGTCCAGATCTGTACTTATACTATATGAAATTTATTTATTATTGTTACTCAACTCCCTTCATTATCGTTCCGAGAAGACTTTTATAAACCTATCCTAACCTTCGCCTAGTTAGAGAAATTAAATAATTCCCTTCGTGCACTCCTCAAGAGACACGACACTTGGAGAGAAAACTAACCCTTTAGTAGGAAGGTTTACTACCCGAAAAACTACGATTATCAATAGTATTAATCACAATTTAATACTTTAAACGATAAGCGGTATCTAGCAACACATTATCTTTACCAATGTTATAAACATAAAGTTCATTGCAACAATACCTCCAACGATACATCTCATTTGTACAACTCTTATCCCTTTATCTCTAACGTTTTGATTTAACACAAGGTATGAGAAGTGTAACATTGTTAGAGGTAAATTGTTGGTTTACTGATTCTCATATTGATTTGTGGGATCCAAATAACACTAATATTATACTCCCTCCGTTCCAGAGTATTTGTCCACTTTCATTTTTACACACCATCCAATACACTTTTTTAATCCATTTTATCTTGTAATTTGTATATTAAAAAATTATAGAAATTATATATTAATAATCTATATGTTAAGACAAATCAAACAAGATCACACATGACTATATTTAGGCTTACACATTGAGAGAATTTGATGAGTCAAAATGCTTAGATGAACAGTTCCAAAAGTCAAAAGTGGACGAATATAGCAGGACGGAGGGAGTATATATTAATTTATCTGGGTATGACCATACACTTCCCAAGTCACATCAATCAATGAGCCTGAAGACATTACACTTCATCACTATGGAAGGGATAAATTCTTTCTACGTCATTCACGTATTTACATATGTTTAACTATATACCCAAAAAATAATTGTATGTCCACCAATATTTCAGATGACATTAGATATGAATCAAAGCATATAGGTCAAAATATTAAAGATTGTAATGACCTCAAATCTAAGGATAATTATACCAATGGTCGAATGAGAATACAACTAACACGTTTAAAATAATACCCATGTAGTATTCTCATGGTGGATCGGTCCAGTACCATATCCCAGATATGTACCTACTCATAATTGAGATATCACAATATCTATAGCCTATCAGACACAACTATCTTGTCTCATACGTATTCGTACTAGTTTATTATGCATGACATCTGTATTACCAGAACATTCGACTAATGACATTTTAGACATAACCTCTATTAATGTAACAACCTCACAATTAGAACATCATAGTTCTAATCTATGCTAATAGAACGTTAAGTCTATGGACTAAAGTCATATTCAGATACACGAGATGTATATACAACCTTTATGACTTTTTATTCTTGACAAATATTCAGATCTTGATTCATACATTGACCTCTAGGGTTCATATATCCAACACACACACATAGATACATACATATACTCATACATACATACATACATACAGATACATACATTATACAGGCATACATACATACACACATAGAAACATACATATACTCATATAGACATGCATGCATGCATACATACAGACATACATACATACATAGAAACACATACATATTAGGGGTGGGCACGGTCCGTGATGCTCCGTGATACTACCGGAACCTATCACGGACCGCTATTATTTAAACGGTTCGGTATCAGTACGGGATGAACTCCAAAACCATTCGGTACCATTCTGTTTTGAAACGGAACGGTACAGTACCATACCCATGCTCAAACCGTGCCAAAAAAAATGAACGTACATTACTTAAAGAATATTGAATTTAATCTATAAATATGTATAAAAAAGCACAAGAATGTTAAATAAAAGTATTGATCTCAAATTTAAACCAATCATAAACATAAAGAAATAAAAGATAACGAGTCCAATGTTATAAAATAATTTTTTTTCCAATTTATATAATATCGGAATACTAATAACTATAAAAAATGCCAATAGTAATGATAAATATAATAACAACAATAATAATGAGAGATTTTAAAAATGAATAATAAAATACGAAGTACTCTATACACGGTAAGATGAAGTAGACATATACTCCATAATTATTTGAGATATGTACTCCGTGTATATCGTTGACGGTTCGTTCCGTGATAATCGGTTTTAAATATTTGTATCACGGTCCCGTCCCATTTGGTATCGGTTCGCTTTCGGTTCGTGATGAAAAAAATCAATCCCGTTTGAAAACACTATAAACGGTTCGGTACCATTACGGTCCGGTACGGTACCATGCTAGTTCTGTTTTTTTGCCTACCCCTAATACATATATACACACATGCATACTTGATGAGCGGTCACGGAAGACACTATCTGAATTTAAATAGCTAGGATGTTCTGTTTGTAAAATTGATAATTTATACTCCTTTTATTATAATTTTTTCTGACTTCCCATCAAATCTAGACCCAATTCATCTTCCAACATCAGTCAATTGAGGGGTTTAAGGTGAATGAATGGATTAAGGTTAAGACTCTTTGGAAAGCCTAGAACAGGATTAGGAGAACAATTTTGGAAACTGAGCACCATTGTCTTCCGTTCTCTGAGTTTTGAGTGGCACTGTGCGAAAAAAGATTGGAGGGTCATTAATAATGCCACATACGTTCGCACCCGATCCGATGCTTCGCCGGCCGACAGTTCCTTCCTAGATCCCAACAGTTGCAGAATTATTATCTTCTCTCATGGAGTCAATAATAGCTCGAGCTCTGGAGTACACGCTGAAGTATTGGCTGAGGTCGTTCAGTAGAGATCAGTTTAAGTTGAGAGGGCGCACCGTGCAGCTTTCTAATTTAGGTTATTTTCATCGAAATATGTTCGTTTAAGCTCAATTTTGAGATGTTTCCGTAATATTGTTTGATAGTTTGTGTTTATTGTAGATATAAATGGAGAAGCATTGCATGCTAGTGTAGGGCTACCGCCTGCACTGAATGTTTCCACAGCAAAACTCCGAAAATTGGAAATTATTGTTTGTACCTTATCTACGTGGTTACGTTTTAAATTTTAGTTCATGTTCATTTATGGTTGATTTCAAACACTGCAGCAGCAATGCCAGGAAATATATGCTTTTTTGCTTTACAGCTTTAGATACTTTTGCTCTTTAATAGGGATGAAAATGTATAAGTGATGTCTAACATAACTACCTTGTCTACTTCTAAGTTCAATTGTTTCAAAAGCTTGTGTCTTATTCCTTAAAAAGTGTCTTATTATGTGTGATCATACAACTCACGGGAAGGAGAAATCAAAATTCTTTTGAAGTTTTGAACAACCATTGCACCTGGCAACCATTACAATTGAGCATTGGATATTAAATTCCATGATGTGCGGGTTGGAATATGCGATGGATGTACTATAGTGATCATTTAAAAAAAAGCTATATTGATGTGTATTAAGTACTTGGATACAAGTTAATTAAATTGGGTCATTCATGCTCAACATCTTTCTTGGATGCATTGCACACAATAAGAGTGATGAGAGGTTGTAGCAAGCGGTGATGGAAAAAGAAAGAGACACATGATACTTAGAGATCAAGAGAAAATCCAACCGATTATCATGGATTATAGTCAATGAAAATATAGGTCAAGGGATCATGTCTTATAGCATACAACATCATTGGATGGAGAAATATAACATATCACAATTACATTGTAGTATTGTACTAAGGACTAGTTTGAGTGAGTATCACTACAATTTAAATTTTGTTGACTTTCTTCTTTTGGATTCTCATCCTTTGTATAAAATGTATATATTTTATTTAAAGCTCCCAGCAGTAAGCAATGTGCAAATAGAGCCAATAGTCGTCCAAATTGATAGGCTTGATATAGTTCTGGAGGAGAACAACAATTTTAATACACCTAATAGCTTTAGCAGGTATGTTCCTAACAATATCGATTTGCTTAAGTCTTGCTTTTTTCCTTGGCTGATAGTTTTTTAACTGGTTACTCTGTTTCCTTACCCTGCTTGCAGCGGAACAACACTTTCTAGCTCCACAAAGAGTAGTGGATATGGTTTAGCGGACAAGGTTGATCATTTTTCTCTTATTTTACACCAATTTTGCAAATCTCTCTGTGCCTTTTTCTCTCGACAATGATATTAAAATACCTCCCAAGTTTTTGTGGATTTGCTTGCTGCATGAATAACCAATACCTTATGCCCATGGTTTTGAAAAGGGGTAGAGGTCGCCTTAAGGGCTCAAGACACGCCTTGAACCGAGAGGCAAACTCATGGAGTTTAAGCGCAAGGTAGAATAAAATCGCTGCTTGAGGTGCTGACTTAGGGTTTATTTTAAATTAAGTTTTAGATATGTTATTTCGGTTATTTAGGGAACCCATATGTTGGCTCAAGAATGCAGTTAATAAAAAGTACTCCATATTTAAAAAGTGAGAAAAAGGACTTTTAGAAGCTATACGACTTCAACCATGGGAATGTGCTCAATATTGCACATTGCATGTTTTAGTATTTCTTTTACTGTTACATACAAATCATTATATAAGACGAGGTATTTTGCCTTTTCTTTTGTTATCGTTTCTTAAACCCACAATATTTCTAATTTTTGCATGTTGTTAATCTAAAGATTATTTCACTAGTGTACTGCATTTTTTTCACTGCATAAGTTTTGGTCTAAGTGATTGATAGGCGTACTCTTTATTATTATCAGATTGCTGATGGAATGACTCTAGAAGTGCATACTGTTAATCTTTTACTTGAAACTCATGGTGGTGCTGGACACAGTGGAGGAGCAACTTGGTAATTCATGTAGTGTGTGTTTAATTTTCTTCTCAGAAAGCGGTTGACTAAGTTCTTAATATTGGAGGCACAAAGCTTGCATTGGTTGCTGTAAGATAGAATACCTCTGGTGCAACTTTAGGGAAAAATACATGAGGGACTAGAAGTTAACATTGGGGAGTAGAGCTTCCGCAAAAGGGTTGTCTCAAGTATTTAGGTTCTATATCCACTAAGAAGGGATGATCGGGGACAACATCACACATCGTATAAAGGCAGAGGTTAAAACGGATGGCTATCAAGGGAGTGATTTGTGACTAGAATATCTCATTAAGAATGAAGGGAAAATTTTATAGGATGGTTATCTGACTACTTTTGATGTTTGACTAAGGGTTGGAAAATTAAGATGGCGCATGAGCGAATGTTTGAAACTTCAGAGATCAGGGCGTTGTGGTGACCATGTGGCTGTACCATGTGGTCTTCCAAGATGAGGTAGGAGTGGTTCCTCTTTATTTTAATATAAAGAGAGGGGACACTGCAATGACTTGGTGATGTCCATTGGAAAGGTCTGACAGCACTGGCCAAGGAGGGTGGACAGCATTTTGGTTGGGGGGACAAGGAGTAGAGGCAAGAGATTGTGGAGTGTGGACATGGGATGAGCAATTGAGGCTGAAACAAACAGTCTTAAACCTCTGATAGGGTTTGTCAGTTTAAAGCTTTGGATTCCTTGTAGGGTTTGAGAGCATTCAATGGTGCGGACATGGGGCTCTCTTGGCCATGTAGTTAGGGATTTGTTTGGTAGGCATTACTTGGTCTTGTTTTCCTGCTTTCTTGTTTACTTACCAACCTACTTGTTTGTCTGCTCAGTGCTTACTTACTGTCGTATTGTAAGCGATTTCCCTTGAGGCTCTTTTGTTGTTTTGTATTCACTTTTTTACATTGTTTGCATCACTTCTGGATCGGGGGTTTGCACGGAAATATGCTTTTATTACTTAGGGTAGCAGTAAGGTATGTGACTCTGTGTACATCTAGCTCTCTTCAGATCGTACCTTAGAGTGGGATATACGGGTTATGTTTACTTTGGCTATAAAGCTACTGTGGTATATATACCTTTCATATTGTAAATCCGCTTCCTCCACCCCCTCCTCCATTCCGCCCCAATGATTTACAATCTTTTCTGTAAAAATTTCTAACTACTATTTTGTCTTCTTTTTTTTAATAACTAATTTCTTCTATTTTCATTTTTAAAACCATTTCACCAGGGCATCACCTATGGCATCAATTACTGTAAAAAACCTTCTACTATATACTACAAATGAGAACTGGCAGGTTATTTTTTGACATTTTGTTTCGTATTGTTTACCTTGTACCTGTTGTCTACGAGTAACACAATATAAATTAGCAGGTTGTAAATCTCAAGGAAGCCAGAGACTTTTCCTGTAACAAGAACTTCATATATGTGTTCAAGGTCTAATTGCTTTTTAGATTTTCCCCTGTTCTATTTTTATTTATTTTTTACGTTTTGTTTTGAAAATGATGGTTTAGCATTTGGCTTTCATTTGGTCGACTATTCATTTTCTTCTAGCGCCTTGTGCTCTGGATTTAGTATGGGACATGACTATCAAAATTATCTCAATTCATCAGTCTCATGGTATTTTTCATGAAAGTGAATAAAACCTATAATGATGAATGTTTTAAAAATTGATCTCATTATTCCTTCTAGAAGGTTGTGACTGGAAGAGCATCTGGTATAAAATTTAGTCACTATGTTTTTTTGCTCAAGTTTATGGTATTAAAATAATTCTAAACATTTAACGAACACCATAACCATCACTCCATGGACTCCAACGTAGTTGGGATTGAGGTTTTTGTGGTGGTGGTGATTATGATGGAATCATTACTTATTCCCTATGCATTCTGATACCTAATTTTTAATATGCAGAAGCTGAAGTGGGAATATCTTTCAATTGACCTGTTACCACACCCGGACATGTTCTCCGATGCTCATTTTGCATCTTCTCAAGGGGGATCTGATAGGAAAGATGAAGATGGAGCAAAGCGTGTATTCTTTGGTGGAGAGAGATTTGTAGAAGGAATATCAGGAGAGGCCAATGTAATGTAGAACAACTTATAATGACATTATTTAGAAGATGATACCGTTTGTAATATAAATTGAAGCATATTTTTACCTATGCAAGCAGATCACCATCCAGAGGACTGAACTAAATGATCCAATGGGGCTTGAGGTTCAGCTACACATTACTGAAGCTGTTTGTCCATCTCTGAGTGAGCCAGGCAAGTACACTGCTCTGCATGTTCTATGCTACTCCCTCTGCCCCAAAACAAGAATCCTGTTTGGGAACATTTTGTTATCTCAAAAGTGTCACATTTAAACAAAAGAAGCTAATCTTCATTATCTTTGGAGTTTTTTTTAAATAAATGATTGTCCAGAACAAAATGGGTATGCCGAACTTAGGCAAAATGACAAAATAAAATTCAAAATATAGCTATATTTGATGACTTTCTATAGTTTTATCTAACTAAAATTTAAAAGTGGTACCACCGTTAAAAAAACTCTTTATGGAATTGGGGATTATAGTTTTGGATTTTGCCTTTTTTGGAGTGATACCACACTTGCATAGTATCCTGACATGATACAACAGGACTAAGAGCTCTTCTCCGGTTCATGACGGCCCTATATGTCTGCTTAAACAGAGGAGATGTGAATCCACATGCCCAAGAGGTATGGCCTTATATAACTACTATGCTTTTTAGTAGATTTCACAACCAAATAGAATGTGTGATGCCAGATTCCCCTTTGGGGAGTTTTGTGATCAATCTTACTTTTACATTTGCTCCTATTTAACCCCACGTCTAATAGTCCAACTAGTATTACAAGATACTATCTCCGTCCCACTCTTTTTGTCCAGTTTCTTTTTCGCAGTTGACACAAAGACCAAGAGAAGGGGAAAAGGATGATGAAATGTCTAGACTAGAATACCCCTGCCTATTGAAAATGGGGGTAGGTCTATGGTTAATCCAAATACTCCGTCATTTAATCTTCCCGTCTTCTTCATTTCCCAATGGTTGAAGCTCGCCTTCTTTTTTCGTTGAGATGGGGAATCTCCTTCGCCACCTTCTTAATTCTTCTTAGTTCGCAGATGAATATGTCCATGTTCTCTCTGTCGCCAATAGTCATTCATCAAATTGATCTCTTTCTGTTGACTCTGGTTAGATCTCTTTTTTTGTCACCAGCTCCGTCGTCTTCTTCATCTCTAGGTTTTGGTCAAATCCGTGACTCTAATCTGATCTCCTTTTCGTTGCCGGTGTTGTTCACGTTGACTTGTTTCTATCCGGTATCTGGACAGATCTCTTTGTGATAATGGATTTGGTTAGATCTTCTTGCGACTCTATTCATATCTCCTTCGTCATGGTCGTTGCCGCCATCGTCGCCGGTGTCATCCTCTTAGTCACTGTTGCCGTCCCATTGGAATAGGTGGCTGGTGGCAGTGATAAGAATAATTCGGTGAGGGAGGAGTTAAATTGATGGGTAAAAAGGTCAATTGGACACTTGAAATTTTACTAAAAAGGGAAAGTAGACAAAAACAATGAGACAACCCAAAAAGGAATACTGGACAAAAACACCAGGACGGAGGGTGTAGTAACTAAACTCTTTTCTCTGGGCACCTTATCTTTTCTGATAACTTGAGCAGCATTTTCATGAAGCTGCTGGATGTTCTCTGCTTTCAATTGTTGCGGACCACATATTTTTGTGTATAAAGGATACTGGTTAGTTTTGCCACCTAAAATCTTTTTTTGGTACATCTTATGCTCTGTGATTCATGCAAAAATTCCTTTCTAGCTGATGGTGATATTTGTTTTGTTATGCCTCACCGGTAAAAGTTTATGTTCACTTGCAGATTTCCAGCTTGAACTATTGATGCAGTCCTTGTTCTTTTCTCGGGTATAGTTGCTTCGACCACCTATATAGGATTATTAGGATAGAGTAAGCTTTCTTTTCGAAGTGAATGACACTACAATAATATTATGCTTATTTCTGCAGGCTAGTCTCAGTGATGGTGAAAATTCTAAATATTTGAGTAGAGTCATGATAGGCGGATTGTTTCTGAGGCAAGTCTCTCCTGCTTCCCATATATGATATTCTAAGGAGGCTTGGAAATCGAATGTAGGCATATTAAGTTATTAGTTTGCTCCACCTGTCATTCTGTCTTGGTTATATACTTGTTTGCATGTGCTCCTGGTGACAAGGCTTGTGATATGTGACTGTAGACCACAAATATGCTTATCTATTACGGATATAAGGACAGCTTTGACCCTGCACTCCTGATTGTATGGATGCATGTCTATACAGTTGTTCTTTATTAATACTTGGGACACTCGTTTATTAAAAAAACTTTAAAAATAACAATTTTTGGTAAAATAAATGCACACCCAACTTGTTTGCGGAATAAGTGCACATACATCTATTCCACAAACAGAACATGCTAAAAATACTACTTATTTTGTATTCTTTATTTATTCCGCAAACAGAACCGACTAGTCTTTTTGTTTTACTGCATTTATTCTCTTTATTTTCGTGATACAGAAGTAAAATAGAAAATAGTCCTTTTGCTCTGCTTCCCACCAAAAAATAAATTTCTCATGGTGTTTGAAAATACCATAATGAAAGTTTTAATGATATGTTCCATTTACTTAGTATGAACAATTTTTCTCTTGTAGTAGTCCTTCCATGGTTTTTAACACTGGTTAATATATTTTAATGCAGGGACACTTTTTTGCGTCCACCATGCACCCTAGTGCAGCCACCAATGCAGGCTTCTTCAGACAATGTGCTGCCCATTCCTGATTTTGGTACCATATCATAGATTGTGTTGGGCATTATATTAAGTCCATTAATTTGGTCCATGTTAAGCCATTACTTATTTTAATGATTTAACAGGTAAAAATTTTTGTTCTCCAATATATCCTCTGGGAGAAACACAGTGGCAATTGGGTGGCGGCACTCCTTTAATATCTCTCCATTCTCTACAGCTCAAGCCCACCCCTTCCCCACCTGTTTTTGCTTCTCAAACTGTCATCCATTGTCAGCCCCTCATGGTAAATATATATTTGCATATTTATCAACTATGTTAAACCTTTTTTTTAAACCTTTAATAATATGAAATTACAAATACTTTTGTGTCTTTAATAGAATGAATAGAAAAACTAAAAAATATTATTGCTTTTAAAAATGTGACCTGGGAAATATCAATATGAATTGAAAACCAGGGTACAAATGGTACAATTTAAATTTGAGATGTGTGAGTGAAGACTTTAATTTATTGTTAGATTAATCAATGTTGTCTTAATAAGTTTATGTTCCTACAGTTTTTATATTTTCACTTTCAGAGTGTAGTAACAGACATTAGTTAAAAAAATTTAAAGAGATTTTTAGTAGAAAATTTAAAATATTTCAATTGAAAAGAATAATTGGGAGGGTTTATACAAAAGAATAATGACAAATTATTTTACAAAAGTATTTTTACAAAATAATATAATTTTTCTTTTTACTCAGGACTAAGCGTGGAATAATCTCCAATTACAAAGGACGTTTGTTGGAATCTACTGATTAATTAAATGGATAATTAACACAATTTTAATGGAGGACCTCTATTGGATGTGTTCTCAAATACACAACTCACACAAGACCACAAGAAACATTAGTTTGTGGGGTGGACTAAATGTGGAAAAAAATCAATTCCAAATGACCATTTCTGAAATTTGTTCTACTACAATAATAATCAAAGTTGGTCATGATGGCAGGTTCATCTTCAGGAAGATTCATGTTTGAGGATAGCTTCCTTTCTAGCTGATGGAATTGTAGTAAGACCTGGTGCAGTTTTACCTGAATTCTCAATTGGCTCCCTCATGTTAAGTCTTAAGGGATTGGATATCACAGTTCCCATAGGTGTCGGGAGACAAACTAACAATGAAATAAATACCCGAACTTCTCAAAGTTTATTTTCTGAGACCAGACTCCATATTGAAGACTTGTTCTTCTCTGATTCACCTATGCTAAAACAAAATTTACTAAACCTCGAGAAGGATCCAGCATGCTTTTGTCTTTGGGAAGGACAACCCATTGATTCCAGCCAGAAGAAATGGAGGGCTGGTGCTTCTGTCATTAGTTTGTCTCTAGCAACCTGTAACCCATCCACAGTTCAAAGTACTACATTGTCTTCAGATTCATGGAGTTGTGTCGAGTTGAAAGATGCATGCATGGAGCTTGCAATGGCCACTGCAGATGGAAGCCCTTTAACAAATGTACCACCTCCAGGGGGTATTGTTAGAGTTGGAGTTGCTTGTCAGCAATATATGTCCAACACTTCAGCTGAGCAATTATTTGCTGTTCTTGACCTTTATGCATATTTCGGGAGGGTCAGTGAAAGGATTGCAACGATTGCACAGAACAACCCACTAAAGGATATGAGAAATGAATCTTTGGGTGTATTAAACCAAAATGTTCCTGGCGATAGTGGTGTGTGCCTGGCTGTGAAAAACCTGCGGCTAAGCTTTTTGGAATCTTCTCAAAGTAAGCTTGGAATGCCATTGATTCAATTTTCGGGCAATGAGCTATTAATTAAAGTTACTCATAGAACCTTGGGTGGTGCTGTTGCCATCTCATCCAGTTTAGTGTGGGAGAGTGTTCAGGTTGATTGCACCGACACTGCACCTAGCTTGGCAAATCAAAATGACCAGGTGTTAACTGCAAACCCAAATGCTTATCTGGATACAGATGTATATCAGCTTAGGACTGTTTTTTGGGTGCAAAATAGTAAGAACCGTCAATCAATTGACAAGGTTAAGTCAGTTCCTCTTTTGGATGTAAACATGGTGCATGTAATACCATTCAACAAGCAAGATACAGAATCTCATAGTCTGAATATCTCAGCTTGCATAGCTGGAGTTCGACTTGGTGGAGGAATGAATTATGCTGAAGCATTGCTCCTAAGATTTGGGATTTTTGGAGCAGATGGAAGCCCAGGAGAGGGGCTTACTAAAGGATTAGAGCATTTATCTGCTGGACCTTTATCCAAACTTTTTGAGTCAACACCTCTAATTGTGAAAGAGCTTAAAGAGAGTATGTATGGCCTATTCTCGTACTCACGTTCTTTTATATCTTTTTTTAATGCAGTCCATTATCCATTCTCATGTTTTTTCCCTCTCAAGATGGAAGCTTAGATGGTGGAAAGGATAGTGGTATCTTGCAGTTTGGCACTCCTGATGATTTGGATGTGTCAATAGAGTTGAAAGACTGGTTATTTGCTCTCGAAGGTGCGGAAGAGTCAGCAGAGATATGGAGGCTCCACAATCATCAAGACTCTTCTAGAGAAGAGAGGTCCTGGCATGCTTCTTTCCAAAGCATCAGAGTCAAAGCAAAAGGTAGTCCTAAGCAAATGGGGAACAGAAGTTCAAGGCTTTGTGGAAAAGTAAAACACCCAGTGGAGTTGGTTACTGTGAGATTCCACTTTTCTCTTTAGTCCATATATTACTATATACCCGTGAGTTTACCAACGGAATTGAACCATTATTGAGCAGAGGCTACAAGGGTCCTATTTATGTGTTGCAGAAAAAAATGGATGTAGCCTCAGTTTGGGACATCGTAAATTACTAATGCATGTGGTTTACTTGATTTGTAAAATCATTAGATTTTCAGAGAAGGAAATTTTACAAAGAAATGTTCTTACAGGTTAGTGTGGAAGGTTTGCAGATATTAAAGCCACAAATTCATAAGGCTGCCAAGCAAGGTGCTCTTGTGGATAGAGAGCTCAAACAAGCTTCTGAGACATATGCTGGTGTAAACTTTCAAGTTGATCTAGTTATCTCAGAAGAGAAGATTGATGATAGAATGGCAAAGTGGGTAGTGGAGAATGTGAAATTCTCAGTAAAGGAACCGGTGAATATAGTTGCCTTGATTTGATAGAAATTAGCTCTTAGTGTGCTACTGTTCTTATAGTTGTATAAATAAAGAACCGGTATTTATTCATTTTGTGTACTCTTGACAGATTGAAGCGGTTGTGACAAAGGATGAGCTGCAATACCTCACTGTTTTGTGCCATTCCGAGATCAATTCTATGGGTCGGATAACTGCTGGAATCCTACGGGTACTCAAATTAGACGGTTCAGTTGGCCAAGAAGCAATGAGCCAACTAAGTAACTTAGGTATCTTTGCAATTCTCTTGTCCGTTTACAATAAATCTACTTGTTCTTAGTAGCCATAGGTTCGTTAACGTGATCAATTCCATGTGGGTTACAGAGTGGGTGTTTGGTTGATGCGAAGTAAACACTTTTTATGCATAGTGTAGGGCGACAAAGATTTTAAATCATCTGGTTTGTTTTTTTTGTGTAAAATCGTTTTGCATTATACCACGTAAAATATTTTACCTGGGGGGAGGTGGTGGGTGGGGTTCAAAGTTTGGAGGTTAGCCAAGTAGCAAAAGCATTCTCCCAAGAAGATTGAAGTTTTGCTTTGAACAGTATGTTGCCAAAAGTAGTAAGTAGTTTTTCCATACACAACACAATTGGACTATTTTTCGGGTCATTCATTCATTCGAATTGGGCAGTCATCTAAAATCTATACATACGTTGTTGGTGTTATGGAATTGCAGGGAGCAAAGGCTTTGAGAGAATATTCGCTCCTGCTTCCAATATTACAAGTCCGCCTTCCAATGGAATAAGAAATCCTGACTTGGATGCTACGGTGGCATCTCTTGAAGAGTTGTTCTTGGAAACACAGGGGAGGTGTGAAGCTCTTGAGAAGGAGTTGTGCACCGAGCAGCAGCATGAGAGTTTCATACAAATGTCTCAGAAACTGGAAAGTATGCAGAAACTCTTGCTGCGATTGAGGACCGAAATTTAGTTAAGTATTGTTTGCAGTTCTTGTCATGTACTATCATATCATGTGTAGTTCATCTCCAACATTCTTTTCAAAATTCGTGTTCAATATAGATGCATATATATAAATCAATTAAACTCAGATACATGTTAGGAAATGTTTTTGAATGAAAATCTTGTTGGTGACTTTAGTCTCATCAATTATTTTGAGTCCGGGGCCGTAACCCTCGGTAGTGGGGTTCAAGGGGCAAAGTCCTTGGCCGAGGGTCGCACCGTGTGAACCTCTGCGATAGTAACCCATTTCTTGGCTAATCTGATGCCTAAAACGTTTAATGTCGAACATAAGCAAATAAGTTTGAAATTCCTCTACACCGGCATGGACCTCTACCAAAGGGTGCATCTATTATCAATATATAATTCAGTTTGAATTTGAAGTGGAAAACCTAACAGCACCCTTTCACCACATATTGAGTCTTCGCCAAGATATATGTTTCATCATTATTTTGTTCTTTACAAATGAAGAACGATGGGTATGTTTGAGACATAGTTTTCGGTTCTTGAATTAATGTCTTATCCGATTGATATATTTTGATATATCTCGAAATCACTTTAACTTGAAAGTGTATTTTCGCGTGATTCATTCATTCTATCAAGCTTGTCCTTCACGTCCTTATACCATCTTCTTTTACGCTGTTTTGTAGTATTACTATTCTTCCATCTAAAATTCCAACATGTCCCAAGTTCAAGAGTTGTAGTTCAATGATGTTCCTTAAAATGTTTCTGAGAAATTTGTATGAAATTCGCCAATCGCTTTGCTCTCCGCCATCAAAGGACTGTCAATTTTTTAGCCTAGATTTTAATTCAGCCCTGCAGTAAATGCAATGCTACACTCAACACAATTATGCAGTAGTAGGTATGCTTTGGAGGTCAAAAGCTTAGCGTTCATAAAACAAAATTCTCTCTACCAAAACAGGGTATGAAGAAAAATAGTCTCTTTTGTGCTTGGCTCCAATTAAAGTAACCCCAATTTTATTGTTCTAGAAAAGTAGTCCTCTCTACGCCCTAACTTAAACCATTTGTTGCTGTTTACAAGGTCTGATTCAAATTATTTTCAATTTATTTTATTTGAAAATTGATGTGAAATTAAAAAATAAAGTTTATATATTTAAGAACTAAATCAAAAGCGCTACAAAAGTAATATATGATTATATTATTTTGTCAAACGAGTAGCAAAAATAAGTATGAAAGGTGGTTAAGGTTTGACAAAGTTGACAATCCATCGGGGAAAAATGAGCAATAAGTGGGACCTATTTGTTAAACTTCCTGGGTCCATCTTTGGCAATAACTACTTCAAAGCTAAGACAACTAGACAAGCACTAATTACATCAGAGTATCAAGTCACATTAACTTGATGTGCCTCACCTATTGTTCCCTCGCCCACACGCCCAAATTAATACGCTAATACTACTTTTGTGTCATAATTAATGTAAACAATAGATGAAGAAGAAAACGAAGAAGTTGCAATAAATATATGAGAATATGTACAAAGATGGAAGCGGGCGTGGGGATTGGAGAGCTAAATTAGGAATTTTAAGTTAAAAACGGTGTCAGTAAAAGAATATAATACGAATTGTAAGTTGTGATATGTTGGATCATTGTAGAGAAAAGAAACAATATATGTTTAATTACACATGGATTAAAAATGAGCGATTAGGCAACATGAGAGGGAAGCCGTAAATACAAAAATTATTTAGGCACAAAAGAATCAAAAGTTGCATTTGAGGCTTAAAAGAAAAATAATAAAATCAAAAACTTGTGAGAGTATTTACATGAATTTTTAAAAATAAAAATAAAGTCAAATATTAACTCGAACTATTTACTTGGGTATTTGATTTCAATAATTTAAGTGTCATACAAAAGTTACCTTCGAATCTTTAGCAGTTAAGCTTCTAAACCCCAATAATGAGAAGCTTTCTAACGTCACTTGAATACCTTAAATCCGACACTAGAGTCAAAAGTTAAAGTTAAAATGGAGTATATTTTTGTTTAACTATTGACTATACATATAATGGAATCTAACATACACTAACAAAGTCAGAATCGGGTTCCAAAAACCGTGAGGGACTGATGAATCGTGAATTGGCCTTGCTAAGCCTGAGTTATGCGGGCTTGTGATCATGGACTTCACAAAAAAGCCTGAAGGCGTTTGAGGAAACTGAAGTTGATAGAATGCTCACTGGAGTTGTTCAATGCATATGCAACCAATTCATTATAGTAAGCCCCAAAAAGAACATAGAATATCAATTAGCTTTGCAAAGTTCATACAGCAAAACCTTTCATTTTATCTTGAGAAGAATTTGTGTAAGCTGTTTGGCATGCGTTGATGACGTAGCAAATATGTGGATCTTCATGTGGAATGTTACTTAATAATGTCGTCGCAGGTTCTAGTAGCCCCAAGGCCAAAAGAACTTGGTACATCCTGCACACATATTGACATGTATAAGAGCCTAAAAAGGAAGGAAAGAAACTAGCAATATAATCAGACAATTCAGTGGTCCATCCCGCCTGATTGAGTCATATATTCAGGCAATCCGGTGTGGTGGAACTACGATTATGCCCAATCGCTACAATTTACAAATAATTCATATTCAGCTCCGAGTAACATAGCCAAGCATGGGAAAAAGTGGGCCCGTTAATCTATTAATCTTAACAGCACAACAACCCAATTGGATCCAATGAAAAATAGGGTCTCGGGAGGGTGTGTAAGACTGTAAGTAGACCTTGCCCCTACTCGAAGGTAGAGAGGCTGTTTCAAGGCACCCCCGGCTCAAGCTGCACATATAGAAGGATCACATATACAAAGCAGGGAATGCACAAATACAACATAGATAAAGTACCAAGCACCCGGAATAAAAAACAAACAAAAGTTAACGAAGGAAAAGTACTCCAAGCAAATAACACCAAGCATACAAGGCAGAAAAAGCACTCAACAACAACACCACCCCCTAGCTCAAGGCACCTACCCAGCTACAGGGGACGACTTAGATATCAAGGGGATTGAAAGGTGACAGAGAGAATCCAGATTGGCACAAGCTGGTTTGGATGAAGCTTGCTTTGCCTAAACACCAAATATTCTCTGGTTACTTTGCAAAAACAGACTACTTACAAGGAGTACACTGTCTTAAGTATTTGGCTTGCGAGTTGTGAGCAAGAGTGTATGATGAGTGTGTGCATGCGGGGAGGCGGTGGGGGGAGGGGGTATTGACCTCTTCTTCAGATGCTCTTATCAGTAGTAGTGCACAGAAGGTTGGCAGACTGGCCTGGAATTGATATCAGTGGGAGTTCATCCACTGAGGTGGAACTTAAATTGAGGAATGTGAAACCCAGAAGGAGAAGGGCTAAATGTGCTGTGTACGTGGCTGCTTGCTATGGAATTTCGAAGGCAAGAAATATGATGGTCCATAAGAAGGTGTTTACTATGGAAGACAACTTTCAGAATATGAAATATCAGAGTACTATTTATATTTACCATAAAGGTTATAGAAATAGTTGGGAAGAATAGTATTGTTATTTGTTGTGTTTTAGCTTGGTCCATACTCTAGCACGGATGGTTGTATACTGTTACTGTTGGCTACTTTGGTCGAGTTAACAGACTCTGCACTTCGTTCAAAAAAAGAAAAAAGAACATGGTCATTTCACAGAAAGACATGTTCTGCCTTAACTGCAGCCAGTCCTAAATGGAGCATGATCATGTTAGATTCATATTTACACAAATTTGACTGTCAGAAATTTAACCAAACAAATAACAGTAGTATGACAAAGATAGGTGCAGGGTTTTACCTCAAATAACTAAGTATGTTGTAAGGAAGACCAGCTTTCTGGTACTCTTCCCAAATCTTGAAGCAAAATGATACATCTTTGGAGCTCTGACATGCACTAAGGAGAACATCAAGGCTCTTGCGGGAAGGGATAACACCTAACTCGTGCTTAATAGCTTGAAGCATATTCCAGCCGAGCTCCAAGTCTATTGGATCTTTTTCCACCACAAGGAAAAATATCTAATCCTCACAAGCATGAAAGAGTAAGATGTATGATGATACTAGGGCGCCTAAAATGTATGTACGTGTATGTATATATGTATGTATATATATGTATATATATGTGTGTGTGTGATTGACTCCAATAAAATGAAACCTTACGGTGAAATGACATGCTTCGGTGAGATGACGCCAAGCTCGCCACATTACACTGCAAAGCTCACCAATGGTCAATGCAAAGCTCACCCAGAAATAAAGCAAAGCTCACCACTTTGAACACCAAAACACACCATTTTTTAAAGTTTTAAAAATGAAAAAATTAATTAAAAATAAAGTAGCAACACCGGTCAACCACTGATCAAAAGCAGCGTACGGTGACCGGCGGCGCAAAGTGGCGGTGGCCAGCATCGGCAGGCGGCGGCGTGGCGGTGGCCGGCGGCAGGTGGCGGTCAACAGTCAAAATCTAGACAGCACCCTTTCTTTTGATTTTATTTTTTTTTTAAAAAATTCAAAGTCTTGAAAAAATATGGTGAGCTTTGCCTTAAAGTTTGGTGAGCTTTGTAGTTGTCCTTAGTGAGCTTTGTAGTGTTCACACTTTGAATTTTTTTTTGAAAAAAAATCAAAGGAAGAAGTGTGCTGACTTTGACTTTACCCCATGTTAAGCATTGACCGCTGCCTTGACCAACCCTGCTGCCGCGATCGCCGATCGCCACCGATTGGTGGCCGTCGGTCTCCGCCGCTGAGCAGTGGTTTACCGGTGTTGCTTTTTTAATTAATTTTTTATTTTTAAAATTTTAAAAAATGGTGAATTTTGATGTTCAAAGTGGTAAGTTTTGCTTTATTTTCAGGTGAGCTTTGCATTAGCCATTGTTGAGCTTTGCAGTGTAATATGGTGAGCTTGGCGTCATCTCACCAAAGCATGACATCTTACCATAACGTATCATCTGACCAAAGGTGATCCCATACATACATACATACATACATACATACATACATACATACATACATACATACATACATACATACATACATACATACATACATACATACATACATACATACATACATACATACATACATACATACATGTGTTGTAGCCGTGAGAATAAGATCTTATGAAAGAAATAAGAATGTGTTGTAGCCATTAGATCTTGATCAATCTGGTTGATTCATCCCGTTTACATACAAGGCATTTTAGGACTTTTGGATCTTAAGAGTATCTTTCGTTTTCTGTCTCCCTAAAATTTGGCCACTTTTCCTAGGTTTCCGTTTCTTCATCTACAACCAAGTAATTCGTTCTATTCTTCATCCATGTTAGAGTTCTAAATTGAGGTATCTTCTCGCAATTTCTTTTCAATTTCTTGATCAATTCATCATCTAACTCATCACACATGTCCCCTTGAATATTTTATGGCTTTCTTGAGGTGTTGCGAAAATTATCCTAGGTTTGAGATCGATACAATAGTCCCAACGATCTCAAATTCTCTGTGATTGATCCCTTTCCTGGCGAGGATTGTTTTTTATTAGTCTACTCTACGGTCGTAAAAAGGACGATGGAAGATTGCTTAGTTTGGGTTCAAGATACCATGCCGAACACAAGGTGTTTTTATATTTAATATTGGTGCGTCGGGTAGATCTCAACGAGTGGTTTTGAATAGCATATTATTTAATTTCTCAAGGGCAAACTTATGTACGAAAAATCATTTACAAAATAGATAGTGTAGTAGAATAATTAAAAGAAAAAAAATTAATGTCATAATGAGCCCCCTATTAATGTTCGCACGATGTATAAGAAAATTGATGCATCATTACCTTTATGCCACTAAGAGTAGAAAATGGGGCAATTAGTTTGTACAAATTTAATACCTACCTTTTTTAAAGTTTGACAACTCATCAATGATTCATTCCATCACAGCCGTGCACTCAATCTAAAAGATAACATTCATTCTTATTTCTTTCACTGAGGTTCATTCTCACTGGAACCAATCCACACACACACACATACATACATAGATATATACACACACACACACACACACACACATACATACATACATACACATATATATACACACACACACACACACACACATACATACATACATACATACATACATACATACATACATACATATATATATATATATAGTAAATTCCCAAACTAGTCCTTTGTAATAAGGTGTTTTCTCAAATCAGTCCTCAATAAGTTTTAATTACCTACGTGGTCCTCTATAATTAAGATTTATTCCCAGGATAATCCATCGTAAATAATGTTACTCAAATGAGGATTAATTGAGGGTATTTTGGTATTTTTTATCCGCTAAATTTAGAATTAATTTATATAAGGATCATTTATAATGAATTACTTTCCCAAAATGGTTTTTTCTAATTAAATATGTGTATTTGATTTGAATTTTAAAAGATTTTTTTTAAGTTTTAAATAATATGAATTATTTATAGTCAATGTATTTTTTAAATTTTACATTTAGTTATACAGAAATGATTGTTTCAAAAATATACTTTAAATTTGGATTATCAAAATACCAAAATATCTCCCAAATAATCATCATTTGAGTAATATTGTTTACGAATGACTATCTTGGGAATAAATCTCAATCATAGAGGACCATGTAGGTAACTATAACTTATTGAGGACTGAATTGGGAAAACACCTTATTACAAAGGACCATTTTGGGAATATATGTGTGTGTGTGTGGGATCGACTCCTGTCAGATCACACCTTATGGTTGATGATCAAATGACGTAAAGCTCACCACTGCCAATTACAAAGCTCACCAACAACTATTGCAACGCTCACCAAGCTATATGGCAAAGCTCACCTATTTTTTTCAACACCTTATTTTTTAAAAAAAACAAAACTAAAGGAGTGGACTTTGACCCATGTTAACCAGACTTTGACCTATGTTGGCCGGACTATGACAGCTGACTGCCTCCGTTGACTGCCGCCCCGCCGCCGCTATCTGCCACCAGTCACCGCCGCCACCTACAGCTGGTCGCCGCTGACTGGTGGTTGACAGGTGTTGCTATTTTATATTTGATTACACTTTTTGAATTTTAAAGTTTAAAAAAAGGTGAGTTTTGGTGTTTAACACGGTGAGCTTCGCTAGGTGAACTTTGCATTTGCAATTGGTGAGTTTTGTAGTGGGCAGTGGTGAGCTTTACGTTATATGATTAATTGATAAGGTTTCATCTACCTGAAGTCGATATATATATGTGTGTGTGTGTGTCTATATATATATATATATATATATATATATATATATCAATAGTGGTCCAGGCAGGTCAATGGTTGTCCAAGTCACCCTTTGATTTTTCTTTCTTTTTTTTAATTTCTCAAGCTAAAAATATTCAAAGTTGTGGAAGCTACAGAGTGATCAAACTTATGAGTCATACGATGAAGTTATGGGAAAGAGTGGTTGAACGGAGGCTGAGACAAGAGACTTCGGTGTTAGAGAACCAATTTGGTTTTATGCCAGGAAGATCGACTACAGAGGCTATATACTTGGTGAGAAGAATGATGGAGAGGTACCGAAGTGAAAAAAAAGATCAACACATGGATGGCTTTTATTGATTTGAAAAAGGCATATCACAGGGTACCAAGAGAGGTTTTGTGGAAGGTGCTAGAGAAAAAAGGAGTAAGGATTGCTTATATTCGTGCAATTAAGGACATGTATGAGGGGGCTACAACGAGCATGAGAAGTCAAACTGGGATAACAAGGGAATTCTTCATTGGGGTAGGATTACACCAAGGGTCATCGTTAAGCCCATATCTTTTTACACTAATATTGGACGTTCTTACCGAGCATATTCAAGAATTCGTACCATGGTGCATGCTTTTTGCCGATGACATTATCCTTATGAGCGAATCACGAGAGGATTTAAATGAGAAGTTGGATTTGTGAAGACAGGCTATAGAGTTGCATGGCTTACGTATTAGTCGCACTAAAACAGAGTATATGGAGTGCAAGTTTGACAACAGAAAGAGAGACAGTAACATCAAGGTGAAAGTTGAAGAAAATACTATACCACAAGTAAATAGACTTAAATATCTTGGGTGTATCATTCAAGACAATGGAGAAATAGAGGATGATGTTAATCACAGGATTCAATCACAAGATGATGTTAAGCAGGTTGGTCAAAATGGCAGAGTGCTTCGGACTTTATATGTGACAAAAAAGTAACTTTAAAACTAAAGGAAAAATTTTACCGTACTGCTATTAGACCAGCTATATTGTATGGAATGTTGGGCAGCAAAGGGTGAACATGAACACAAGGTTAGCGTGGCGGAAATGAAGATGCTTCGTTGGATGAGCAGTCATACGCGTATGGATAAAATAAGGAATGAAGATATGAGAGCTGAAGTTGGAGTGAGACCTATTGTAGGAAAAATAGTGGAAACTCGTCTTAGGTGGTTTGGACATGTGGAGAAAAGACCAATAGAGCATCCCGTGAGAAGGGTTGATCAAATGGTGAATATGCATGTGGCTGGAGGAAAAGGTAAACCCAAAAGGACTCTGCAAGCATTGATCAAGGGAGACCTTCGCGCGAACAATCTCACAGCAGATATGATACACGATAGGGCGCAATGACGTTGTTTGATCCATGAAGCCAACCCCACCTAGTGGGATAAGGCTTTTCTGTTGTTTGTTTGTTGTTTCAAGCTAAAAATATGGTGAGCTTCGTGTGTATGTTCAGTGAGTTTTGCAGTGAAGAATGGTGGGCTTTGTAGTTAAGATTTGTGAGCATTGAAACTTGAAGTGTAATAAGCTTTGCATCATCTGAGCATCGAACCATAAGGTGTTATCAGAGAGAGAGAGAGAGAGAGAGAGAGAGAGAGAGAGGTGCAGTGGGTAGGTAGGCAATAATTAGGTTGGAGAGGATGGAGAAAGGAAAATGTGTGGCGAGAGAAAGAGAGATTGGTTTTGGGTAGGGGTGGATAATATTTTATACAAGCGAGGGTATTAATGTCTTTTTAAGTTAAAAGTATTTTTCAAAAAGGAAATGGGAAGTTTTTCTATAGACGGACAAATAAGGAAAGTGGGAAGTTTATTTTTGGATGAAGGGAGTATACTAATATTAATACTAATAACAAAAATGATAAATTTAAATAGCAAGATACATTATCCATGCCACAATTTTGCAAGTTCCAATTATAAAAGAAAAAGAATACCTCATCAAAAAGAATATGTCTAGCCACCTCATCATTGCAGTAAATGTCCTTGAGTTTCTTGAGCAAGTGCATGATAGGTCTGGGAAAATGAAAGCCATCTCTAAAAGTAAATTCTTTAAACTTTTTGCATAGATTCATATGAAGTGTATAAATAAATACAAATACTTAGAAAAACTAATGGAAACAAACCCGAAGTGTTCGTGCCGAATGCTATATGATATAATTCTGAAGGCTGCATCAACCCAATAATCTTTATCGTCTAACTCACCAAGCAGATGAAGTAATCTATCTAAATTTCCTTCGCACTGCATATGCTCCTTCAGTTTTATTTAGGAGGGGAGTCAGCAGTAATGGCCCAAATACACAGGAGAAGATTTTAACAGACGGTACAAAACTTACAATAAGGCAAATAACTGCTTTTGGTGCCAGATTGCCTTTACTTTTTTTTATTTCTTCATATATATCAAGTGCATCAGATACTTGCCCATGTGAGGCAAGAGCAGAAACAAGCACACTTTTGACTTCATTTAAGCTCTTTATGGGTACCCTTCCATCTGAGATCACCTATGCAATAAATTGTGTGCTTGACTAGCTTAAATCTGAATAACTACTATACTGGAAGAATCAATCTGACAAGAACCTATTTTACTGTTCAGTCAAGAAATAAAAAATAGAAAGTGAGAAATACAAACCAAGGAGTACCTGCTTCGCCTTCATAAACTGTCCACAGGCTGCATATGCATTTATAAGGGCCATACAAACGTGCTTTGTGACATGAACTTCAGCATGTTTCATCTCATTAAAAAACTACAAGAAGATTCAAATTTAAAATGTTAGATACTTAGGTGGCATTTTTTTTATCATGTTTTAGGATCAACAAGAAGTAACTTATTTAAGGAGCTAAATAATCAAAGGAAATAAGCAGTGGTCATTCACCAATGTACTGAGGGTGAATGGTTGCCAGTTTACTTTAAAATAACCTTCTTTTTCTTGAAATCAAAATAACCTTCTTTTTAATTAATATATTCTGCTGGAAAAGAAATTATCAAGCTATGTTGCAGATGGACAACATTGTCTTATTTTTATGAATTACAATACCTTGCTAAAACCCCTAAAATAGGGTCAGCTAAAAAGATTATACCCTGTTACCCCATATTCAATATAATGATTTTGACACTCGAACAGATGACATTTGCCACATAAGAAACTACTCAATCAACATTCCATAAAATGAAAATTGTAGAGTAGGAATGCAGAGGACTACTTTGTGAAAAATAACTAATCAAATACAAATGTCAAGAAATGTGTATAATGCAAACTACTACTTCTAGATTAATCACTGGTAGTATGTACTCCCTACGTCCACAAATTTTATTCCCGTTGCGCATTACGATGCCTGTTTGAAGTTATTTTTAAATCATTTATATGAAAACTAGTGTGGAGTTTAAAAATAAAAATTACATATTCAAAAACTACATTAAAATATCTACAAAACTAGAGGTGACATGACTTTTATTTTATCAAATGGGCAACGAAAATAAGCCAACAAAGTGAATAAAGTTTGACCTCTGAAAAGTGAACGAGAAGATAATAGGGAGTATTATTAAACAACTCGCAGGAAATGCTAGACTTGAAATCATCCCTCATTGGAACAAAGGAGGTAGCACACCTAGCTTATCAATTTTTTTGTTGGATACTTTGGAACCTAAGACGGAAAAAATTATCATATCTACTGGAGGATTTGGATGTGGGTCTTTTGGAATTCAATCGACAAAAATGATAACCAATATTTCACAAATATTCACACCAATCCATACAACATGCAATTTTCAGGAAAGAACTGTTGTCAGACCTTGTTTATATCTTGTTCACTCTTGCAATTGTTTATCAGGTAGCTAAAACTTTGAGAGTCTGGTTTCACATTGGCGTCTTCCATTTGTTTGAAAACCATCAATCCACCATGGAAGTCTTTCTGCAAATTCAGCAGCTGTATAAGTAGTCAATCACAAACCAAACTAGAAGAGACCTCTTACTACAAGAGGTTGTTTCCAAGAGACCCCCAGCTCAGGCACAGTCAATGCAAACCAACAAAGAAGGCGCGGAGCACAAAGGAGCAAAGACCCAAAACTAAGACCAAAGAAATGCGCAAAGAGACATAAAGCACACAAACTGCCTCTAGCAACTAGATCCCAAGCACAGAAAGCACACAAACACAATAGAAAAAGCTACCATGAAGGCCCAGACAACTACCCTAGTCCTTAATCTCCAGTTGCTATTATCTAAAGTCATATCCTCGTTAAGGGCCAGAAGTCTTAGTTCATGTTTTACCACCTCCTTCCAACTCTTCCTAGGTCTACCCTTTCCCCCACCCCTGCCCGCTACCGTAAGCCTTTCACATCTCTGCACCAGGGCCTCTGCACTTCATGTGTGGTTTCTAACTTGGATATCCTTAAACTGTATTCAGTTGATAACTTATTGTGTGGTTTCTAACTTGACAACTCATCCCAGACTAATTTAGATCTATATTGTCCTCCTTAGAATGTAAAAGGAGATCCATGAAGCCACACCTTTTAGAGCATCTTTTCCATGCAGTGCTAATAAGAAAACAAGATATTCTTTTACATTAGTCAATGAATGCAGTTTAGAGACCTAACTGTATCTGCTTGCTGCTAGGATTCAGAAACTGTGTAAGCTTTGTTGTTGAGTTGTCCTGGTGCACCTAGTTTTTTTTAGAGAAAACATTGTTCACATTAGTTAAACATGCTTAAAAACTCATTTCCAGAAGTTTGATTTTTATATGTGGAGACCCAGCATCACTGAATGCTAACTAATTAGGAAAACAAGTTTCCCAATTCTTTTAAATTACATAGCATGGAAATACGAATTTAAATTACTTATTTTCAAGAACAACAAAACACAAGATATGCATGGTTATATTGGATCTCAGTACTCTAACAATACTCCATTGATATATTTCAAACCGTAAGAAACATAAAGAAATATGAGCCAAGGCAACCTGACGAAAATAACCTGCCATTATGGCATTGTACATGTTAACCGTAGGCAACAAATTAAACTTCCCCAAGTCCTTGATAATTCGGTATGCTCTGTCAAACTGCATTAAATGACATAGGAAATACATTAAAATCATGATGAAGTTAACTTACAAGAAAAGTAGGCACAATGAATATCAGAGTACATTTGGACTTACATCTTTCATTTTTACACTCAAATTTATCAACTTGCAAAAAGTCTTTTCATTAGGCTTGAGATTGTGGAAACTTATTGTGATTGAATGCATCCGGCGAACCTTGGAAACATGGGAAATTGAAAGATTAATATGAAAACCTTGCAGAATCTTAGTTCAGATACAAACTTATGGATATCACTGTTGTACAGTGTACCCTGAAATGTGCATTCTGCTAGTGTCAACAAGGACTCTTGTCATGATTCTGGTGGCACCACATCACTAGTCAACAGTGTAAACTGCCCACCTCATGTAGGTAAACATTTCCAATACAAACCCCCCTAATTATAGAGTCACAAGGGGACTACATTTCCAATACAAACCCCCCTAATATAATATATTCTATAGAACAAAAAACCATGTAGGCTCTATTCCTGTGGGTTGTAACTCTTAACTTCCAACATTTTCCATCAGCTTCCAATTTCTTCCAAACTCCTCCCAATTTCTTCTGACGTGCATTTTTCAAATTATTCTTATCATTATTATTATTATCAAAATAATGAACAAAATGAGCACTGCATAACCTGTAAATGCACATACGGAAAATATACAATAACACTCCACATCCAAATTTATAAAGTAGGAACCCTCAAACACTCACATAGATGAATTTTTAATACAAATTTGGGTTTTTACACTTGTTTGGGTAGTTTTTTAATAGTGTAGAATTTAACTATTTTTGTTGCCTTATTTAAATCATTTTTGCATGACAGATCACAAATCAAAACTTGTGATTGTTTTAGTGAATAATGTGCAGTGTGAGGTTATTTGGCTGATCGATCAAACTTGGGTTATTTATGTAACATTAACAAATAAAAATATTGCTCCATTTGTCCCACTATTTTTAAGACATGAGTTAATGCCATGCAAATTTAGAAACAAAAAAAATTGAAATTTATATTGATGTGAAAAGGTAAGAAAAAATAAGAATGCGAGTCACACAAATTCACTAAATATAAGTTGAGGCAAAGATAGTGGGACATACAAAAAAAATAAAGAAACAAAAAATTAAAGAAACAAAAGGAGTATAACTAATTTTGTGGGATTTTTTTTGGGATTGTTGTTTGTCTAGTATTATTTGTTTTAATAAAAAATCTGAAATTTAAAAAATATGTAATTATTTCAACTCCATACAATTTTTACCGCATTTTCCCAACTCTTTCCGCTTTCTTTAAACTCCTTTGAACTTGTTCCAACTCTTTTCAATTTATTATAATTCCTTTCAATTTATTCCAATTTTTCCCAACAGCCAACTTTAATTTTCTAACCCAAAAAAACATAGCCGTAATCTAGAAGCTAAGTTAACAATTACACAACAGCTAATCAGTCAAAGGTCGAGTTGAATTTTGGGCCAATTACCCAAGAGTCAAGAGCATGTGGTCCTCTATTTCTTAAATTTAAAAATAAAAAAAATGCTACATCCAGTGTTAAACCTCTTAGGATATGACCTCAGATACAAGATACTCGAAATGCCAGATTAGGGTAGCAGCATAAGCCTTGATGGGAGTCCATGTGTGTTTGTGTATTTTATATATATATATATATATATATATATATGGGCCGGTTCTTGTAAGAATGGACCATGGTGAAAAAATTACGAATGATGCATTTTTACTCGTCATAGTGCATTTTACAAAGCAGGTAGCTCACCATGGTGCATTGTACAAATCAGGTAATGCATTTTACATAGTTCAATTGAATTACAAAAATTCCACCGTATTTTTCTAAATTTTTTCTTATTTTTCAAATTTTTATGGCCTTTAGATCTCACATTCTAAAGCACCACATGCATTCTTATTTCTTTCCTAAGATCTCATTCTCACCAGAACCAAAATCCATATATCTATTTACACACACACAGATATATGTAGACACACACACACACACATACATATATATAGGGATTCATTCAATTGGGTTGTTGTTGTCTAAGATGAATGCAAGAAAAAACTCTTCTTTTCTCCTCTTTTTTCAACATTGTATCAGAATGTTATCGGTCATGGTTTTGAAATGTTCATGTGACTTTTGTATCTCCCAAACAAGGCATAACACTGTTTGGGGAAGTAATCATTTATTAATTTCTCTCTACCTATGCAGTTATTCTAAGAATTGAAGGCACGAAGTATCCCTAGCCTTAACAAAAATTACCCAAGGCTTTTCGGTCATTGGATTGCCGCCATGCGCCACCATGGACAGCCATCATTCTGCCGCCTCGTGTCGACGCGTGAGATCAAGACCAGCAAGATTTTCTTGCAGACTTCTTCAGATCTTTTCAGTTTTTACTTTCTACTGAAGACACCACTAGTACAAAAAGTAAAAGGCACTGCTCTGATTTGATATATCTTTATAGAAATCTGGTTATTACCTCCAAAAATGGTGTGGATAACACAATTATCAATCTTGGTTTATGCTATTGACTTGTGATTTACGGGCCAATTCTTGAACACTAAAGAAAGGGGTAGGAAATGTTCCAAAAAGAAAAGACAGTTTGAGATAGGGTTGATCAACTGTGCAGATTGTTATTGTTGTCTCTATCCTTGAATTGATGCCATTATTTAGAGCCTTTAAGACACGTGTCAAGGTTTGGAATCAAGCTAGGGTCCTCTTTAGAGCCTTTCTACTGCAATTGAGCATTTGATTAACCAACGGAAACAAGGTACAAGTATTAGAAAAGCTCAAAGCTTTCACTCAACATGGTAAATTGGTCATCATGTGTCTAGACATGGTCCCGTTTTTGATAATTTTTTACCCAAATACACTAAAGCAATATTGTCCCAGCAGAATTGTCCAAATGACTCTGTCAAGTTACACTAGAGATCAGCAGGCACTACTTGTTCTTGGAAGGAATGGTAATTGGCAGAATTGAAAACATATTGAAGCAAGAAGAGGCACATACTTGTTTTCACATTGTGATTATTGCAACAAAATGGGTCACTCCCGAGTACATTGTTGGATGCAAAAACTGGTTAATGTGCACAAACTAAGCAAGAAGAGTCGAGAACTTGAACTATCTGAGCTGCTGACTATGAAGAGTTTCCTAGGTTCAAAGCCAATGCCAAAAGAGTAAAAATTACTCCTGAAGAAACTCATCATGCTTTTTTGTCCCAAAACGAGCACTCACCAATTAAATAACATAATATAAATAACAGACTACCAGTCCATACAAGTATGTACTTCCTTTCAAGTATGCACCAGCTTTAGTATGACTCATAACATTAGAAATTTCTGACATATTTTGAATGTTATTAGTCTACAACCAAGTAGTCAGAAAGTAGTGCATTTGATTGAGTAGCTACTCAGTATAGTTTTAAAGCTTAACTCATAATGTATAAGTGCATTTGACAGTACATGAACTAGTAATTTCATGCATTCCACGTACACTGAATTTTAGTTACAGTTATATACACCTCCAAAAACACAGATGTGAACACTTTTCACCAGGAAGGCAATCAATGCACTTTATGTTCCATGACGATCAAAACTACGAGTTCAAATTAGACAGTGAGAATTATTATAGAATAAAATTCAAAACAGATCATACCAAATTATACTCACAGCTACCTTCACAGGAATCTAGTATGACATTAAATGTCTCTGTCGTCATAGACAACCCCTTTTCAATTATCTGATCGACTATATTGAGTGCGGTATGCACCTACGTTGAATTGCACAAAAGAACATACATGTCAGAACGACAAAATTGAAGAAAAGCATTTTTAGAATTTCAAAAAAAAATCACAACCAACACACAAGACTGCAGGACAACAGTCGCCCACACTGATCCAGACTAACCTTAGTGAAACTTACATAGGAGATACATCAACTCATACCTTGAGTAATTTGCAGGACAGCTTAATAAGCTTCTCACATGGTACAGATGAGAGTGTCACATCCAGCTGAGCATGCAAGTTTTTGAATTTAAGAACAGCATCTTCAACCTTTGATTTCAATAGCACGGTTGAATAAGTAGAAAACCAAAAAGATGCTGACAAATGAATGAGTAATCAGCAATTTGTCAATTGACAACTAAAAAAAGATCAGTGTCCATTTTGAAACCTCAAATGACAATGTCTCTTGTTATGATGACCTAAAGAACAAATCACTAAGCCAATTGTAGTAGTACTAAACAATGAAATGATAACCAGCAAAGTAGGAATAGCAATGATCAAATATAATGTGCAAGATTCTATCTAGCACAAGTGAGCTGGTATATACATAATACATGAGTTCAAAATAGCCTCTGTTAGATAGGCTTGGTTAATCCTAACCTAATCATTGTCTCCCTAATCACGTGAACCCTGCACATTTAGTCAAGATCATGTATATATGCGTGACTGTATAGTGTATTGTTTAAGCCTCTAGGCTTTTTGAGGCGCAACTTCAGACTATTTGCCCTGAGGGTAAGCGCTGGATTATTGGGGGGGGACTTCAATGCCATCACCTCCTTCCAAGAATTTAAGGGCAGATGCATCCCTCATAGTATGGATGACTTCAATGAATGCATATCCAACTGTAATCTGATTTGCCCTGATCCAGTTGGGGGTACTTTTACATGGTCCGGCGTTAGGAGCCAAGGGAGAACCTGGAGAAGGCTTGATAGAGTACTGATTAAACTTGATATCATGGCCTCCTTTGTCGACATTACCCTTACCCACCTACCTAGGACCAATTCTGATCACAAAGCTCTTCTGCTTAATTGCTCAAATCCAGAAATGGGGGGGGGGGGGGGGGGG